CAAGTGGTAGAGCACTAGCCTTGAGCTGAAGAGCTGAGGGACAGCGCCCAGGCCCAGAGTTCAGGCCCCACGACCGGACCCAAAAAAAAAAAAGAAAGCTGAGGGAAATGAATCCTGCTGCCAATCCTCTGGGTCTTGAGAGAGGATTTGAGACCCAGGTAATAACCTCTGCCTTGGCACTACTTTGAGCCCAGTGAGGCTATTAGAATAGAGTCAGCCATGCAGTACCAGAGTCTTGACCCATTTGTCTTAGCAAAAGCCACTTACTTTTTGGTAATTTGTTACAGAATAGAAACTAAGTAGATTTTTGGGGGTGGGGGGGTTCAATCCATTAAAGGATAGAAACAGACTTGGCACATGTAGGAGAGGGCTAGGAGTGGTGACATTCCCCTGTAATCCCAGCTGTACTAGGAGGTTGGAGGCAACCTAGCATAGTGATATGTCTAGGCAGAGTCATCAAGACTTTTTGTCGAAACAGAAGGGCTAGAGGTGTAGCTCAGCTGGAAGAACACTTGCCTAGGAAGTACAAGGTGCTTAGGTCAGCCCCCAATACCATTTTTAAAAAGAGATGTAAAGGTTATCCCGTTGTATATCACTTCCAAAACAAAGTAATTAAAGAGAAGCCCCCACTCATCTTGTATCATTACTAAATGACCTCATGCTGCTGACCACATATATGGTATATGTGCTCACATCTGAGGGAAACTAGGAGGAAGACATAGAAACAGGGAAATGGTAAAACACAATAGCAGGACCCATCAGCTGCACTGGACATTAATGAAAAGGAACTAAGCAACTCAAGGGCAGCGATGGGAATGAGGGAATGAGAGGGACAGAGGGAACAGCTAACACTAAGCAAAGGAAAGAAATGTATATATCACCTGATGTGGAAGAAATAGCTGTATTGTCAAAGCTCATAGAATTCAAAAACTTTATAGATGACAATAATGCCAATTTACCTCATGAAGGTTAGAATGTGCTTGTGATTTTCAGTGTCACTATCTCATAATACTATGAAATTTG